TGTTGACCGGCTAATGCGAGAATATTCTGGGTATCAAGTGCTCCGAGCCGCTCTAAGTAAGCTATGTGCGACGACGGATATGTTATTATTGTACGGTCGGGTAGCACACAGCCTCGTTGGCTATATACTTGTAAGCCAAGGGGATGGGAAGCATTTGGTATGCCAAGCACGTGGAATTGGCAGCTTATCAACGTATAGCTCGATTCGATCACTCGCAGAAGCCCCCCCAGTGCCAACCCTAAGGTCAGGCTCTTGTCTTAAGCCACTTTCCACTGGCTGTTACATAGGCGAACGAATAGGAGATATGAACGCGGATTCGCCACGGCTAATGGAGCCACGTAGAGTCGTTTACACAAGTATAGTTGGGGTCCAAATGACTTATAGCCATAAACTAGGTTTGTCGATGCCGTGCATGAGCGGACTCGGCGGGCGCTTGAACCCTTGAAATCGGCATGCGTAGGTTGTAATTTTGGTTCGGTTCGTCATTTTCTAAGCGCCGCTCATGCGCAGGGGGGAAAAAGGATTACGGATTTCAGGTTGCATTGTAATTATATGTTGCATGCGGAATACTATAATACATACATACCTAGGTACATAGGTATATTATAGCCTTGCACACATAATCCGGTCAGTATGTAGTCTGTAGTTTTCTACAGTCCCTGCAGCTTTCATTGCTTATTCAATTCTAGAAGTAAGGGAGAACCGCTTGCTTGTGCTGTGCAATACAGCACCTCTCGTTCGGGAATAGACCACTATTACTAGCTCTTCTTGCTCGTACGTAAGTATAAATCATACTAACTATTGATCGAAGGGAAGAAGGATACGTGAGTACCTAATGTATTGTTGTTAGCGTGGTGACGGACGTCGTAAATAAAACATATATCACCGTCAAGTCGCTTGGGGTCGCGTGGGGTGTAAGAACATGTGTAACTACCTAGGTTAAGGCATGGCGTTTGAAAAGCTGATCGATGTTGGACTGACTGGCTCATTAGCCGCGGCTACGTGCGTCCTTCTTCACGAATATCTAAGGCTGAACTTAGACGCGCTCAGGGTGGATGCTGCTAGACGATGTTGAGAAGCAGATGTGACCTTTCCTAAACCTGAGGGGTCTTTGCTTCGAGGCTTGTTCTAAACGTCCGCCGACGTCCGTGGGTCAACATCCATGGGCCTCGATTTTGAAGTACGTATGGGGTATGTATGAAGTTTACCACTTTCCCCCACTGGGTGGTGGGACTGTGAGTGAACGTCTCAGATGGTTTTAGCAACTGAACAGCTGGGGCACACCGACCCGGGTTCTGGGGCTGTGGCTCATGGGGAGCGGGCTGCATCGCGTTGATCTTTATTCCTCATCCATCAGGAATACCTACGTGGTTTAATGTCGATCACTGCTATTGAGCGAGTGACGCAATGTATTTACGTGTATATTATATATATAATAATCTTATCGACCTTAAAAGTTGGGATGTCTATTTCCAAATTCTAGTTCACATGTTTGCCCTGTTATTAATGAGTTAGCAACTTAAACCAAACCTTTCTATTCAAGTTACAATTATGACTGTAGTTGGAAATATCTTGATACATATGCTATCGTGTATGTTGTCGTGATTGGACTTGGAATAAATACACAAATACATATATAGTATGTTGTCGTAGGAATCTTGTAGAATCTCCGGTAAGTTATGAAGGTAATCCGTGTAGTTACTGTGTAAGGATACTATGTATGTAGATGTGTTCGGATGATCAATACTGCTGCAGCCATGTCTCCATGATGGTGGGCTGGGTTTCAGGCACATGAAACAACTATGCAAGCATGGGCGGTGGTCGATCACAGGGGTTTAATCTCCCCATACAGACCATACAGACCATATACAGGAACCATTTGTACAGGGAAAAGATCCTTTCGAGTCCAAATCCGGACGATGACAGGGCTCAGTCAAGCCCAGTTTGCCTGCTCACGAGATCCTTCTGGCATTCTCGTCTCTTCTTTTTTTCCCCTTCGCATCTGCGTTTATGTATCTACGCCTTTTCGTTACAGAAGTTGAATAGAATACATACCTACCTTACAATGAGGCACAGATGTTTAGAGACGACAGAACTATCTTAAGTACCTACACAAAGACCTACTTACAGACCTACTTAAAAGTAGCTAAACATAAAATATCAGCTGAAAAAACCTTGATCATAATAAGGTACACTAAGGTATTAAATATCGAATGACGGACCATTAATAATTGGTCGATGTGAATGCGATAAAAGGAATGTTTAAAAACCCCATCGGGAATACCTTAGGTACCTAAGTACTTAAGGTATTTATAAGATAAATAGCAACTCTATAAAACTGCTAGTTAATCTTTTCCTTCCTTTTTTTATTTCTATTATACATAGAGGCAGAAAGTCATAAGAATAATTCCGTATACTAAAATATAAAATACGAATGGAACTAAATACCTTTAACTATCCTAGCTACATAGTATGATTTTGTACACATGTGTTGCCTTGTATAATATAAAACTGGGTCCCGAAAGCTGCAAGAAACAGCTTGGGGACTTTTAAACTGCTTGGCTAAAATTTCCTCTAGGTCCCCCTTTTAGGAGGGGATACTCTCTTCTGGTTGGTTAGTTCTTAATCCCCGCGATGAAAGACTAAAAATCCCTTTCAGCCACTAGTAGCTCGTTTATCCTTGCAGGTCTGAGTAGGGTGGTACCACTTTTAAACTGTGCTGGCTGTCACACCACACTCTTTTTTAGATCTACATATACATTATAACACTGTATAGCACTGTACCTACCTACCTTCTGACCTACCAAACCAATAAAAAATATCGGTATGCATTCTTCTTAATTTAAAGTGCTACTTTTGTTTAAGAGATGTATATAATGTACATATAATTATATGTATTGTAATTTTTTCATTATGAGAATAAGTCTCTTCTCCCATTATAGATACTTACATTATTACATCTTGATATAGGTACCTCTATATACATACTGTCAGACACCTAGTAAAAGAGGCAGTTTCCCCGACATGGATACAATGGCAGAACGGATGTATGTAAATACATACGTATTTCAGACGCGGTGCCTGCTATGCTATCCTAAATCGGGCTCTAGATTAGTGGTCAATGGTCAATTTGGTGCTTTGGATCCACCATCTTAACTTGCTAGCATCCACTACCGCGGCAAAATTGAGCCCCTGCAGCCAATCATCGATGTCTTTTTTGACTCTTCGACCAATTTAGGTAAGTATACAGTGCAAATATATTCTTATCACTATACGAAAACGTGCAAATAGGATGTCCTAATGTCCTCAGTAGGAACCCACAGTCCACTGTCCACAGTTCCATACAGCAAAGTGCAGCGTGCTTGCATTCGTTGGCCCGACCTGCCCACCCGCCAAAAAAAAAAAACCCACTGCAGCAATTTTCACTTTTCCCACTCCTCCTGCAGACCAGGCACAAGTATCTTTCCCTTTCATCCACCACACTCTCAACTTTTTTGTCCATCTTCTCTTTCTTCCCCCTCCTTATCTCCCCCCTATCGCATCTCGCCCTTCCTTTATTCTCTCTCTATCCTGTTGGTTCCTAATCCTCCTCGAGGTTTCCCATTTTTTGTGTTCGCGCGCAATTCCAATTACTATCCGTCGCAGGCTTGTCCTTCGTCGTTGCGTCAAGAGGAGAAGCAGTTCCTACATCGCGTTATCTCGAGAAGACGACAATTTGCCACCATCATCGCCAGCTTAGTATTTTTTTTTCACAGGATTAAGGGAAAAGAAAAGGAAGAAAATTAAATAAAAAAGAAAGATAGAAGAGCCGGAAGACCCGATCGATTTATTCGACTCCTTAATCATTGTACAAATTACCGAAGTTTTTTTTCTCGCCGTTTTCGATTCGCATCGCCTTTACCGTATACCTTATACTTGACTGATCATAATATCGTCCTTCCCAACTACGTCAACCCGATAGCAAGAAACTGTGAACGGCACACGTTTAGGAGAAGTAAAAGTCACCCGCAAGGTTAAGATTGTTTAGAGTGGTTGCATTAGACATCCTCTCAGTTCTTTCGTCGAGAGTCCCTAGAAACAAGGAACTCTTTCCCATCCCAAGGTACTTCCGCAAAGATCAACGTCCAAGAACAAAGCCCTGAGTGCTACAAATCGACACTGTCAACCTTCAGGATCAGGATTCGGCCTGCTAACGTTACGCCGCTCTCGGACGAGTCAAGCCAACAAAGAAAGCTCCCAGCCTTAGGTAGTCTTTTCTACCTTGTCCCTGCGTGATTTCGAGGCGCCGATTCCTCTATCCCGTCCTTTGCACCGACTTCTGTTCATTGCCTTGTCTCTGACCCGGATCAATTGGGAAATCTCATTCGGACTATCTTCAACCTTTTCTCCTTCTTGGCTTAACTACGCAGCTTCCTGTCATTAGCATCGTCTGTCGCTCATTCGGACACGACTACGGATTAGTTTTAATAATTATTCCCCAAAGAGACAAAATTACCCCACGACAGCCGCATCTACTCGTATCCATCTTCTGCTTCTTGTCTACAGTTTTCCATCACCAGCGTCAGCACAATTGTCTTGGTTTTGTTGGATTCTGCTCGGCGAGCTGCGTTTGATACGACATCCTTCCCAATTGCTACATCATTAGCCATTGCGCCGATTGTCTGGCTACACCACGCAATCGCAATCGACATTATCGACAGTCCCGACAATTCCGCATCGCATTAATCAGCCCTGTCTGGATCACATTTATTCCCATCAATCTACTTTGTTGTAATATCATTTTGGACGCCCTGTTATTCCGGAGGCGATCATCCATTCCTTATTAGATTTCACTTCTAATTACATTACTCTCACCGTCGCTCGGATTCGGATCTTGCATCTCGACTCCCTAAAACAGCTATTCCGTTGATAGATCACAGCGTTGCTTATAATTTGAGTATGGACACTGGTGGTCTTGCTCAAATGTCACACAACGGTTCACTTCGCCATCCGGTTTGGGCATGCCCACCGGAGGGCTTGCTTCACGCCGCGGTGGCGGCCAGAATATTAAACCTTTGTCCTTCGAGTCTATTAAGACTCCTACTGATCCCAAGGACAACGGAGTTCCCACTCCGCGAACCAGCCGATCTCACCTGCTTGCGGGTCTTAGGACGGCTCCAAAGTCGGCCACCGCAACTTCTTTTGCCGCTTCGCCAACTTCCACCGTCCCGCCTACTCGTGTACATGGCAGGGATGGTGCTGGAAACATGTATGGTAACCAGGACGGCATGTATGGCGGACCTAAGACGTCACTCCCCCGTCTTGCGACCCAGCAGCAGAGCTACAACCCGATGATTAGCTCTAGCCAGCAGCATTATACTGCCGAACAGATCTTGGCACCCCCTGAGCTTCATCTTGATGAGCAAGTCCAAGACCAAATGGATCCTTCGCTCTATGCTCAGCTAGTAGCGACCAATATGTACCTGGCCCAGCAGCAGCAGCGATTGCAACAACAATTGCTCAGTGTCCAGGCTGCAGCTCAGCAGTTCCAGGCAATGAGTCTCAGTGGACAGTCGGTGTTGCAGCAGCAGATGGCTCTGCAGAATCTGTACCAACAGCAGCAGCAGCTTAAGAATTTGCAGCAGTCGATGGCTAACCCCATGCAAATTCAGCAGAGCCTCTTCCCCTATTATGACACCGCCGGCCAGCAAATGTTCTACGTTAACCAAAACGCCACTCAGATGAGGAACGTCGGCAATTATGTGGATCGCACTCCTGGTACTCCTCAGGGCTATGGTCACTCGCAGGCAAACAACGGCACGCCCCGTGTTCAAGTTTCGCCGCCTCCCATGGAAAGCACCCCGCCTGTCTACCGAACTACCTCGCCTCCGAAGAAGGTAGAAATAATCGCGGAACCTACACCCCTACCACCTCCATCTGCTAATGCCTTCCGTCGCGGCCACAAGAAGTCATCCTCCCTCGCGAATGGGAATAAGGGTCTGTCACTGTCGATGGATGATGCTCCTAAGTCGGCTGGCCCCAAGACGGCCTCCTTCCCGCTTACTCCCATGACTAATGGTGGCTATGGCCCTGGCCAAGGTCGTGCTGGCGAGCACCCTATTCGCCAGCCTCGTGGCCCTCCCGCACTTGATGAACTTAAGGCGAAACCCACTGCCAAGCACGAGGGTAGCAAGAACTTTGCTCAGCGAACTCGCCGTTCTGCTGTCCACAATCTGGTGAAGGCCGGGATGGTTAGGCGCAAGGGTACGGGTAGTAGCTGCGGAAGCATGAGCCCCGTATCCGAGAGCGCAGAGGAAGTTTGCACGCCATTGACTGACAACGAGTCCGACTCTGGGCGTAGTGGCTCAGGCAGCCTCTCAGGCGATGCAGAGCCCAGTCTTGCTAGTTCCAGGACTTCCACGAGTGGCAGCTGGGGAGCTATTGGCTCCGACCGCCCTGGCTCGCGCCAGAAGTCGCGGAAGAGTGTTGATAGCCTGTCCAGTGGCGGTGATAGCGAGGGTAGCTTTGCGAGCGTGTTCAAAAACGGTTCTCAGCGCGCTAGTAAGACCGAGTCGATCGACGGTCAGCGAAAAGCACCCATGCTCGTACTCACCAGCGCCGAGAAGCGCAAGGGTGGTGTTGTCGTAGCTTAGGGTGCAGCCGGCCTCAAATTTTCACGCAATAATGATCGCATGCTCCCAACGTCTTTGTCTTTTCATGAACGTCGCGACGGAGTGGTAGAGCCCTCCAAGCAGAGATTACGCACGAATGGACGGGACTAGGTTGGAGAACAGAATGGCCATTTCCTTTCGCGATTTGATTTTGGAGGGCGCTGGTAACTGGGTTAAGGGATGGCAGCATTCTGAGCTGTTGATTTCTATTTGCAATACCGAGGATCCTTTGGCTGGCATCCAGCAGTACACTTCTTCGAGGGGATAGAGCGGCTTGGAGAGAAAACCCTGTTGGTGGGATTCTTTTGCTGTTTATACTTCATGTCATTCTCTCGCACAAACCACACGTTTATTCGCTTCTAAATACGTTGAGTTTGGAGGAGGGACCTCACGGAGGGAACATCTCACTTACGATTCTTGTGGATGCTTATTCCCTAGAAAGCTGTGTAGGCTGGAGCTTAGCTTTGTGGTCGGGACACCTATCGATAGACTCATGCCTGACTCTAGATAGTGATCAATGGCTCAATTATAATTATATGCCAAGCTTATTTTGTTTGGTATCGTTTCTGATGTCTTGCCTACCTACGTAATATTTTATAGAACCTGAATATAGCCCCTTTTCCAACACTGACCAATAATTCCACCTACTCAAATGACCCTACGATTTTTCATGTTCAGTCTAGGTCAAGATGAGGCAGTCAATTGACCACTACCTTAACGTCGCATATCTTTAATCTCAGATTGAGTAGTAGTATCCTGTCTTAACTTGTATTTTGTTACTTATCAGTTTGGTACCTAAGAGTATCTTTACTTTTCCCAAGCCCCCTATTCCCTGGTATAGTACACCTAAGCCTTACTAAGAGGATAGCTAGTTTTCTTGTTGGATGACCTTATGGAAATGGCGGAACGCTGTGTCCTGATTAAAACTGTACAAGGTAAAACGGCTGAGAGGGCTTAAAAAATCTTCTTTAATAGCAGACACTGTTGTCTTCAGGAAGATGCAAAGCCACGCCGTAAAATTATCTCATGGCCAACTAATAGTGAGGATAAGGAATTCGACTTTGTGATTATGAAAGTTAGAGTCCAGTGGTTTCTGATTTATATGACGTTAGTAAGGTCGTGTTTTAAACAGTTGTTTTAGTAACAGGTGGGATTTAAGTATCCAGTAGATAGGTACCCATCCGTTTTCAAGCATGATGTTATTGATTGTAGACTTAAGTCTAGATTTCTAGTTTTTATTTATTTATCTACCTATATACTGATACGATACTGGTAGTTTTGAGATGCAGCTGATATCAATCCCTTAAACATGCCTAAGTACATAACCTAGGTAGGTAATCTCTATTGTGTTATATCACATAATGTTGCACTTGCTGTACACTCCTGCTCGCATTACAAGAATATTGATAACTACCATCATTAAATTGTAGAATATACCCTTATTTTGGGATCTTACAAAGTCCCTTGGGTGCTAAGTTGCGGTTCTTTCTGCTTCTGCTTCCCTTTATTCTGTTTATTGGCTTCTGGGTCCTCTAACTTTGTTCTGATCCGCCGCCCGCGATGGATTAAGAAGACAACCAATGCTAGTAGAAGGAAAATCCCACCAAGGGTCGAGCCTATACTAATCCCGGTCGTGGCGCTGGATGCTAATCCATCATCGTCCTGGTTGATAGTAGAATTTTTGCTACTAGTATCTCTAGGGGTGTTATTCTGCCAGCCATATTATTAGGCGGAGGTAGTGAAAGGATTTGAAAATATATCCTTACCTGTAGAAAGCCGCTAGAGAGTGATAGTTTGGGTGATTCATCCGTACACCAGCCATCGCTAATGTAGAAGACGTAATCACCCGGGGTAAGATCGATTCTAGGCGTCAACATAAATGTATTGTTGCCTTTATAGCCTATATTTCTGTGAGTATCTATAAACTTTTACAACTTCTGGGGAAGTTCATATACTTTTGGCGATCTCATCAGTCCACATGAGTCCCTTAGCCGTAAACTTGGCTAGGTCGATATTGACTAAGTCGACAGTGTCTGTCCATGTGAGAACTAACGTCTTTCCATACTCGAAATCCCATCTATGTGTCGTGAAGCGGACTCCAGCCCGGCATTCCATCGCTGGTGTTGACAAGGCGAATAATTTTCTAAATATCATCACTATTGGCTTATACCAGAAGATGTATTTCATCAATATATGAGACGGGGTGGGGAAAAGGATAGAAGTAAAGATTCCCCCAGGGACCCGTCTGTCAAAGCCGTATATTGAATGGCATATTTTCCTAGAACTTACCTCTGCAGTGTATGACAGTGCTTCATCCCGTGTTATGGTGTTTGTATGGCGTTTATGTTGCACACGTGTTACGGACGGAAGCGGGCAGCCTTATCCAGGAGGCTTGGTGCTACTTACTACGAGATCACAAGGTGATTTAGGATCTTTATGGAAATGGGTATTGTTGCTGGTACTTGGAAGTTTGTACTGCACTGATAATAACCAAAGGTTTTTAATTATCGAAGTCCCACGAGAGTCCTCTTTAGCCCCTTCATCTATATTGTTATCCCAGAACTAGATGAACGTAGTATAATCAGGATGTGTGATTATCATAGCATCAAGTTTCAAGAAGTCGATAGCTTTTGTATTCTGCATATCTTAATAGGCACTTGGTCGCTGTAAAATGGACCTCGCTGGTCTTGTCTGCATGGAAGCCTGAAGTCAACTTCTTCGACGTTGAAATATCTCTTTTGGCAGACATCAAGGAAGGCTTTGAAAGTGTCTTGGTTCCTTTCGGTAGCGGCAATGAGAATTATAACATGCGGAAACATTCCCGTTAGTTCTTCTAATGTTCCAACGAGAGCCGGGATGACGCTCTTGTCATAAGTTATATCCGCGCCAAGGACCACATCAATCGGCATGCCGCCGTTCCAGTATTGGTCTTCTGTCCCCACAAGAGCATGGCCCCATTTAATATCCATTGCCCGGATTTGCTTTGAGTCTTGGAGGCCGTTTAGAAAGAAGTTCTCGGGAAGATTTGCCACAACCTCGTCAGAGCCGTCCGAGGCGATAGTTAAAGTAGAAGCAAGAAATCTGGCACACAGTACGGATAGATATCCGGTCCCTGATCCCAATTCTAAAACTCGCTTCTCTCGAATAAGCGACGGGTTTACGCAGAGAAATTGCCCCAAGTGAAGGGAAGCTTCCCAAGTACGCAAGCCGGTGGTCCCCGAGGCAGATATGAGATTGCGCGACTCAAGCAGTGTGATCTGAGGTGGAATTTGGATAACATTATCACGACTGTCAAGTAGAGATAGACTATACGTCACATATGATTTCTGCTGAGCAGCGGTGGTTTCGGAGGGTAATGGGTGTGCTAGAAGACAAGAGAGCGTATTCATCATGTCATCCGAAACCCCCTGAGGAATTGGGTTATCAGCCATGGCTACATGGCAAGATATATGAAATATAGAAGGTATATATATATAAATATAATGGAAAAATAATATTAAATAATATAAAAGATGGTTTTCCTTACGTGACGATCCCAGTCCTCGATACTCGCTTCGATCCTCGACGTGAGCTCCTTAAGGACTCGCAGCTGGTACCTCCGAGGAGGGGGATAAGCAAGAGCGTCATCTGCAAAAACGCGGCGGTATATAGTGTCTTGAATATTTGCGTCTTGCAGGAGTGAAGGTGGAGGATAGTCAAGATCTTTTTCTAATTGAACGTACTGAGAACAGAAGCGGCCGATGCTATAAGCTTTCAGCTCGTGTTCTTTTGGGCATGTTTATAAAGAGTTGACAAAATTTTAGTTCATTGAATAATTGATTAAGAAATTGGCATCTCAGGACAATAATGGGTTAAATGTTTTACTTAATCTCTATAGAGTTGAAGTTATTGATGTTGTGATGCTGTGATGTTTCGATGCTGCGATGCTGGAAATAAGTAAACTTCCAGATTTACATCCATGTACCTAGGTACCGTACACTAATGTGGCTGAGATGGGTGGTTATGGCTGTACAAGAATTAGTGGGTCGAAAGGTAAGGTACCTTCTTAGTTTCTTAGGGTTTTAACCTCGCGTATGGATCTTGCCCTGTGCACACTTAAAGCAAAAAAAGGAAAGAAGAAAGCAGAAAGCGCGGGTCGGGAATTTATTCGGACCGGGTCTTAGCCCCAATCACACACCTGGAATCAACAATCCACCCACTTTCGGCTAACGAATTTTTGTTAAGGCCTTTTCCACCCTGCGCACCTCAATTCTAATACTAAATTCAGTAGCAACATCAACGCCAACCTTTCCATTTGGACAGAGACAGATCGTTTCTTCGACTCCCCCCCCCATTCGATCCGTCATTAAATCGCGAAGATGGCTGACTCCGAGACCCCCGTCACGTTGCGAACTCGCAAGTTCATTCGCAACCCTCTCCTCGGTCGCAAGCAGATGGTCGTGTACGTTTGCAATCCCACTTCGATGATAAATAAATAAAACAAATAAATAATATCGTCTATTCGATGGAAATAATACGATAGAAATAATGGGAGAAATAGTCAAACATAACAGAAACTAACAGATTATTTCTAATAGTGACATTCTGCACCCCGGCCGAGCCAACATCTCCAAGGACCAGCTCCGAGACAAGCTATCCACCATGTACAAGGCACAGAAGGATCAGATCTCCGTCTTTGGTCTGCGAACACAATTCGGTGGCGGAAAGACCACTGGATTCGCTCTAGTCTACGATTCCCCTGAGGCCATGAAGAAGTTTGAGCCCCAGTACCGACTGGTTCGTGTTGGCCTGGCTACCAAGGCTGAGAGAGCGTCAAGACAGCAACGTACGTTTCTATATCTGGAGGACTGGTGGAATAAATATAAATGGAAATAAGAAATACTAACAACTATACAGGCAAGCAGCGCAAGAACCGACAGAAGACCCTACGGGGTACCGCCAAGGTCAAGGGTGCCAAGGCGAAGAAGGAGAAATAGACGATGGGCTTCTAGGTGTTCTGGTCTGGTCTTTGCGGAGTGGGATGTTGGCTCGGCTTCGGCACTGGCTCTGTGCATTATACGCGAAAATGCATATCTGCATCCTACATACTAGTTCTCGACGCGGTAACTAGTGAACTTTCCTCGAGGCGTGACGGAATGAATTTGATGATTTCTCCCACGATAGCATAAATCAAGGAGTTGTCATGGCCAATACCCGTTTCTAGTTCATGTTTCTTGTTGTTCATACGTGACATATTCGCACGAGATTTTACGAGATCCGCTAATGGTCTTCTGGTAATAATATTTCTTTACTATCACAGTAACTACTAACTCTATATCAATTCCTGAACGCCTCTGTTTTCCTAGGTATCTAATAATCGCAAAGCATCCCAGACTTATCATGATGATATTTCGTAAGTCATTAGGTTAAGAGGTATCTCTGCCCATACCCAAAAGAAAGAAAAGGAAAAAAAAAACATGAAAGGAACTTTACTTAAATATCAAAGCCCGAGTACCAATCCGCCAGCGACGATACCAGCCACAACACCAGCGCGTAAAGCTGCCTGCCCACTACCTTCGCATCGAATCCCGCTCGCTCCAGCGTCTAATATAGGTTCATGCCAGCCGCAGTGCGTTTCTAAAGGGAAGGTTACGCAGCTATAATATGTAGTCTGTACATACTTGACGCCTATTTCGTGGAAATTGGCCCCTGGTGGTGGTAACTCAGGTGAGGGCGTAATCTCAGGGTCGATTGCGGTCTGAGTTGGTATAGATGTAGACGTAGGCGCATCGAGTGGTAAAATAGTACACCTGCTCTTAGCAGCGCCAGCGCTCGTCAGCCGCGGTGTAGGATTTGATGTATTAAGCTGGACCGAGGGTATGCTACTTGGTACTATTGTTGCAACTGATTGTATTGTCGCCAACGTTGTCGTTGTCGAAGCCGAACCGAGGCTTGAAGGTATAGCGGTTCGAGGTGTTTTCCGGCTAGCCTCCGCAAAGCTCAGCAGAGCTATTAAAATAATGATTGCCAGCATCTTGATGGATATGGATCTTCAGCACCGTCTAGGCTCCTGCTAAGAGATTCTTGTTCCCGATAATAATAAGGGCTCAGTTTCGAGGAATAGGATAGGTAAGATGTATTATATGTACAGGACGAGAACAATAAGCAAGGCGTGAGACCAGCTCGGTGTATGAATAAAATGTACCTATAAGCTAAAAGGTAGAATTAAGAAGAATGAAGAATGAAGAGTGAAGAATGCCTAAGAAGTTGTTGCAGATCTAAGCAATTGTTGCAGATAGATAAAACAAAGAGAGAAAGAATAGAGGAGTAGAATCGAAGACGGATTGAATGAAACTAAATGCAATTCATACTCCCTCGAACTTCTATAATCATTAACTCGTACATCTACCCGTTATGTCCTCCTCTATGATGCAAGTTTAACATGTTGGTGTTAGTCAGAGACACGCATGCACGTTGACGAAAAGAATAATGTACATAGGTAGTTAGGTCTGGTAAACTATTGGACGATGTATCACTTTAGATCAAGCCTAAAAGGGATCTCTCCGTTTATCCTACATGTTTTGGGGGAAGTTATTTGGCTATCTATCATCTGTAAGAAATAACTTGACTCCTTGGCAGAATAGAGAAAAGCTTCTAGATGGCAAACACAGCACATCCCCCCCCCTCGCGTGTTAGAAGCTAATGGACAAACTTACAAACGGCTGGCTACTTAGCCATGACGAAGAAGACCCCCCCTGACAGGTGGAGGCTTGTCGCAGATGTGAACTGCATTGGATGGAATAGAGAGATGTGATTGGTGCGTTGTATATGCAGGGTCAAGTAATACCCTTACCTTTTTCCCCTCTCTCGATAGAAATGCAGTGCATTTCTGTAAGTAATATCTTAACCTAGATCTATAAGCCCACGTTGAGATTTAATATGTTAATAACTAACCTAACTAACGATTTGGGATTATATCCTTGCTGTTCAACTCATTGGGTCCGACCTTTTTCAGCTCAGGGCTAGCTGTTACTTGGCAGGCTACTGAGTCGTCAGAAAGATACCAGACTATGGGGATTAATCCAACCTGAATCACAAAATTCATCCTTTATCCACTTGATGGGTTGGGTGTTATCATGGCCAAGAAGCGTTTCATGTTTAACAACTTGAGTCATAGATCGGATTATATGGTGTTGCGACTTACACCTAGTAAGCATGTATCATGACCCTTACAAGTCGAGGTTCAAATCATATCCGTCTCTTTAGCGGTAATATATTCTTCTAGTATGACTACACTCTAAAAAGGCAGGATATATAAAAGGAAATATTAGAAGCCTACTAGTCCAACAATATGTTTGAGTATACGATGTCATTTTATAGGGAATAAAACGGATAGCCATTGAATCGCTCAAGTAAATATCAAGATAAAATCCGAATTTAACCCGCATACCCCATTCGTAGACTAACTACGGAATCATACAAAACACTGAATCCATGAAGAACCAGTAACTCCAGATCGGGCCCCATATGATCAGCCTGGACTCCTAACCTTAATCAATCAATCTAACAAAGCTCGCTCTTCTCAACCCCGATACTCTACAACGTGTCGACGGATGACGGCTTGCATTGTATTGCTGCTCTCCTCGCCTTCAAATTTCAAGTTGACCTTCCCATCACCATCCATCCCCATAACCTCAGCTTTATAGAATGTGGTAGTATTGGGATAAAGTGCTAGCACCGTCTTACCCGTCTCTAATGGTGGCAACACAGTCCCTTCTCTAGGGATAAGGATCATGCTGCTAGCGTAAGTTCGGAAATCTTTTTGGTGACCATTCTCGTCCACGTCGGCGTCGAGAACCCTGTACCGCCTCGTCTTTCCGTCGCCGCGAACATCTTGGACGATACCTAGAATCCAGTCCGTCTGCTCGTTGCTCACGGGCTTTGGCTTGAAAGCGACCTCGTCGTCTTTGGCGAATGTCTGCTTGGTACGGTTGGAGTTAGAAGAGGGTCCGGCTTGCGGTTCGGCGCTCCCCGCCTTGGTTGCCGGAGTAGAACGATCCCTAGGGGGGACTGAGTCACGGTCACCCTTGTTATTATTATTTATACGGCGTATGGTGGGGTTTGGAGACGGGACGGACGACTCGCCAGATCCGTCAAAGTCATATAGAGAAGAGGCAGCAGCGGCTGACTCCTTAGCTCGCTGGACTCTCGAGGTGTTTACCTCTTGCTGCTCCTCCTTGGCCTTCTGTACGGCACGTAATACCTTGAGTTTTTCGATTGTTTCGACGATAGCTTGACTAGCAATTTCATTGGCCTTTACACCCTTACGGTAGAAGTCATCGAGTGTATTATAGTCTTCTATAGTGAGGACTAATGAGAAGTATCAGATTACTTTGGTTGTGCTTAATGAAAGGAAGACTTTGATATGTGGAAGACGGGGCGGAAATGGGACTCACCGCCTTTGGTCTTCTTCTCGGCCATGAGCTTCTCCTGGTCGCGAATTTTGTTGACGTTGGAACTGCTGTCATTGAAGGCATTGGTAATAGCAGTGCCTTTGTCCTTGATATCTTTCCACATGGGCAATTCCTCTCCGTGCTCGCCGATCTCGCTATTCCGATTTGGACCTCTTCGCTGATTCCCTCGTGAAGACATCTTGGTGATGTTTGATGTTTGATGTTTTTATTAACTACCTTAGGTACCTAAGGTAGGTCTTATGATAGTGGTTAATTATGATATGAGATGAGCAATGAGGAATGAAGAATGAAGAATGAAGAATGAGGAACAGTAAATGAGTAATAAGAGTGTTGGGTATAAGTTCAAATCAAGATTAGATATAAAGTTTTAATCGTGGAGGGCAAGTGGAAGCAGTTAAAATCATTAGAAGCGCTTAGATAAATTTGTTTCATGGCATGTCTGAGTATAGCCATCTTAACTTTGAATTTGAACCTTAGTGAGTAAATGAAGTTGCGCCTCTGTAGACGAACCCCCAATTCGATCTATGGATGTTTAACTTGTGGCTTGTGGCTAGTAACTAGGTACATATAGTTACATAATCGCCTTTGGGTGCATCCATGCACGAGGTAGGTCCATTCCATTCAGGCACTCCCAGTTGCATGGTGTACCTAGTACAAGCTTCGCGGGGTAACTGAGGTCCCCCCCGCACCTTGAGCTTTACCTACATGTGTCAACCGCATACATGAGGTAGGTACCTTACCTAAGGTAACCTAAGATACCTAAAAATATTAATAGTACCTCTTTAGTACCTACACTACCTTCTAACTTTATAATCATTTCATATTCCAAACCTGCGCGACCTCGAATAATTACCTGTGAACTACCACCTTAGGTACCATCTCCCACTTGCCTATACCGCTGAAAAATTCGAGCCATCATCGACAATGGTGCTACCCGTCCCTCTTATACGACTCCAATGCGGAGTAAACTCCTACGATTGGGGCAAGATTGGATCTGAATCTGCCGCAGCTAAGTTCGCCGCCGCGACACCCTCCGATACGTTGAACATTCAATCAGATAAACCATACGCCGAGGTGTGTCTTCTATTCGCTGCTAAACTCTACGTAATATAATAGTTAATACGAAGGACCTTGCGCTTGTAGCTATGGATGGGAACTCACCCTTCAAACCCATCTAAGGACCTCGAATCCGGCCGCACCTTGCTCGAGCTTGTCGAAGGGAACCAGATGCTCCTCGCCCCCTCAGTTAAGGCGAGATATGGTTCCAAGTTACCCTTCCTATTCAAGGTGCTCTCTATAAATAAGGCCCTTTCCATCCAAGCCCACCCCAACAAGAAACTTGCCGAGCAATTGCATCAAAAAGACCCTAAGAACTACCCAGACGACAACCACAAACCCGAAATGGCCATCGCGATAACTGATTTTGAGGGCCTGTGTGGATTCCGCCCGCTTGGCGAAATTGCTCACTTTCTATCCTCCGTACCAGCTCTACGACAGCTAGTCGGAGAAGATGCCGCAAAGGCATTTATCGCTACGGTTCGAGGACAGGAGAGTGATGATTCATCTGAGTCTACTACGCAGAACAAGAGAGCCCTCCAATCTGCCTTTGCCGCTCTTATGAAGTCTTCACAAGAAGATGTAGCGTCGGCTGCCAAGTCACTCGTCTCGGACGCCGAGAGCAGAGGAGACGAATTTGCAGATGGCGGAATCGAATCTACCAGCGGAGCAGTTATGTCCGAGTTGGTGATTCGACTGAATAAGCAGTTCCCTGAGGATATCGGTCTCTTCGTCTTGTTCCTCCTCAATTATGTCAGGCTTTCCCCAGGCGAAGCCCTTTTCCTGAAAGCGGACGATATTCATGCGTATGTGTCGGGTGATATCATCGAGTGTATGGCAGCAAGCGACAATGTTGTGCGAGCTGGATTTACACCCAAGTTTAAGGACGTTCAGACGCTAGTCGATCTATTGACATACAATTATGCTCCCATCGAGGAGCAAAAGATGTCGCCAACAGAGTACCCGTACGTAGTGCTTAACCGTACCGCATACAGCTCGGGCTCAGAGGCAATCTTGTACGACCCGCCGATCGAAGAGTTTAGCGTCATCAGGTCGGTACTCAATGGCGAGGGATCTAAGGCAACCTTTGATCCTATTGATGGACCGAGCATTGTCATCTGCACGGGGGGCAAGGGCAAAATAACGGTTGGTCCAAAGACCGAGGAGATTAAGGAAGGGATGTCTTCTTTGTTGGTGCCACGGCGGAGTTGATTCTAGAATCTCAAGGAGATAAAGATGACTCGTTCACAACGTTTAAGGCGTTTTGCGAAGTTGAAGACCACAGCAATGGGGCACAGCTATAGCTACCTACTTACTTGTTAATATAAGAGGACGAGTTATAATTGCCAACTCTCATTTCATCCTAGGAGGTTTTTTCTACTCCTCCATGTGTCTTGTATGCAAACCAGAGATATCCTAAAAGCAATTATTGAATTCATACATATTACATGCTTTTTACTTTTTGTGCTTAGTTATACTCTTTAAACTCTTGTAAGCTGGATCTTTTATAAGTTGTAAAAACTAACCAGTTTTAATATTTTATTTCTTAACACTGCCAACTGAAGTTTATATCCAAAACGAACCCCCTTTTAATATTTTTTTAAATAAAATAAATAAAATAGCTACCTACCCAACATATACCCCTTTTTGACTTGCTTGCTATTATTTTGGATTTATTAATATATTATTGCATTATGTAGTATACATTGCATTACATAGCATGCTCTATTACATGTATCTAGGTGTATATGTAATGCACCTAATGCTAAGATTGGACCAAGCCTTTGATGTACAAATTCTCCTTACCTTTCCGCGGCTGCGCGATGAGCTCCTGCAGGGGTAACCAGGCAGTGTCAAGTACCTATATATCCACTACTGATTTATTAAATATTATTTAACTTGATTGGGAATCCATCGCGCTCTTAGCGTGGCACGCTAGCTTATATCAAATAACGAGTAACTGATAACGGTATTACGGTAGTGAGGTTCAGGTAGTACGTAAAGTAAGTTTCCCCCCTAAAAAGTAGCGGAAATTGAACCATTTTTGATAATGACCTGGACCCTGGCGCATTTTAATGTTTTCATTACTCTTCCAATTTGGAAATCGACACGAACAACTTATTTTTTTTTTCTTGTCAATCTTCTGTCATTCTCTTTAATTTTCCCATCCTCCACTAAATTCCTTCGTTGTGCATGTGTCAATCTCCAATCTCGGGTGTGTAATTTTACCTATTTTTAAATTATTCCTCATACGGTAACCTCCTACGGATTACCTCTACGAATCCGTACCATTTACAACAATACGACAATACGACCACCATCTTTCACCTCACGGACCCCCCCTTCTTTAGGCCCTTCATAGGTCCTTCAACGATAGGCTGAACTGTTACGGAAATACTCTTGTGATTCGATCAATTGGACCTTCCAAAGAGTATAGATAGCCAATAGAGACGCGTCGCGCGCTGCCAATCATCGTTCTACCTATCCTTCTCCTCCTTCTCCCTTTCGATTTTTACATTAACGATCTCGACGTAAAACGCCATCTCAATCCTAGTCGACCGTCCTAAACGTAAATCGATTCTCTATACCGATTCAAGCTCCCGTAAACAAGGCGACAGATATTATCGACCGAACTTGCTCTCTTCACTAGAATTCAACTAATATATTGACTGCGATCGATAAATACTCAAGATGGGGGGCCAGCTTTCTAAGATGATGGGCAAGATCTTCGGATCTAAGGAGATGAGATTGTTGATGTTGGGACTCGACGCTGCTGGAAAAACGACAATATTATACAAGCTCAAGTTGGGTCAAGACGTTACTACTATTCCTACCGTTGGCTTCAATGTTGAGACGGTCACGTACAAGAACGTCAAGTTCAACGTCTGGGATGTTGGTGGTCAGGACAAGATCCGTCCCTTATGGAGACATTACTTCAGCGGTAAGTGGTTTGTCCGTTGTGAATTAAGGTCGTGGTTTGGATCTGGAATCTCCTCTGGGTATTCCTGGCATTATTTTAGTTCTCAAGGGGACCACCGTGAAATTTCTTTACAGGTGGTATCGTAGATAGTCGCGCGGGTACGGACGTGATAGCTCGAACATATGCTAACGGTATAATACGCGGATAGGAACCCAAGGTCTAATCTTCGTAATCGACTCTGCCGACCGCACGCGGATGGAAGAGGCGAGACAAGAATTACATCGCATTATCAACGACAGGGAGATGAAGGATAGCTTGTTGCTAGTATTCGCAAACAAGCAAGATATCAAAGATGTGAGTAACTACTAATTCTCATCCCACTCCCCCCTAGACATTGAAGAAGTATCTGCTAACTGTTCCTGCAGCAATGAAACCACAAGAAGTAACCGAGGCACTCCAGCTGTCCAAGCTTAAGGATAAGATCTGGTACGTAGTGCCTAGTTGTGCCACAACGGGCGAGGGTCTGCTCGAGGGGTTGGCATGGCTGTCAAACAACGTCAAGGCGCCCCCTGCGCCGGCCAAGAAGTAGGGCTTCTAGTTCTAGTTCACTGTTCCTTTGATACCCTTGATTTTCTTTGATTTAGAACGACTACCTCCCTATAACTTGGCCAGAGATGGACATGACGAGCGAACCTCAATAGTCTTTAGGCTCGCATAGTCTTATATGGCTCTAATAACTCGATGAAATTGGTTCGGGCTAGGATGTGTTGTGGGCGGTACAATGAAGATGCCTCGTATAGTTCAGGGTCTAGTGTGCGAATTCAGTTTTGGACCTTTTGGAATGCGATCCCAGCCCAAGTGTAGTGGAACGAGAGAAGCATTTTCTTATCATACCGTATATATACATACAGCTCCGTCTGCGGTTCCAGTCAGTTGCGAGTGAGTGCAGGGAGGAGTGAAACGAGGCGAGAGACCAAGCCCGTGTTGCGACAGGTCATCATAATCCTTACTTTTGTATGAGGCTCGAGTATGCAGTGGTAAATACACACCGGAGCCGGGCAAAGTGGATAATATATATATACATACCTGATCCCTTCGGCGTTGGAAGCACTTACATAGAGCAGCCCCTTTTCTGTCTCCAAAAATATTGTTTTTTTTTAGTCTATCAATCACGTCACGAATCCATCCGTCACACATCAAAGTCTTCTTTTTGTTTTTCTCACGATACGAATAAGGGGCGGTATACTAGGCGAACACGGTCTAAAGGGAAATGGAGAGCAGAGAGTAAAGGAAAGGACAGGACAGGGATATCCCGCATCATCCCGCGTTAGTTAATTTGTAAAGGGCGGCAAGGGGGGGGTGTTGGTTGGTGCTACTTGTGCCTTGTCGTATAGTAATCTTGTAATACTGGCCGTTTCGGTTCCTGACTGACTGTTTGAGGAGCGGACGGGGTTACCCTATTACTTTCGCTTCGGAATCGAGCAATGAAAAATATATTAGATTGACAAAAACCCGTGTTGTTCACTCGAGTATATTGTGATTTTTGCAGCTTAGGTCGTTTTGCTAAGATAGAATGCAGATTTAACTACAACAATGAGCAGTCAATATACGATATTATCGAATAGTAGCATCTTGATTATTCTCATATTCCATCTTTGAAATATTTAGACGTAGCCTGTCTGATGATGTGCGCCAGTACCAATGTTAATGCAGTACCCAATCCCAGCCAGGACCACCGTTACTCCTTCATGCTTGAAATATTAAACACCAAATCGCCCCTCAATAAACGGCAAATTAATACAAGTAGCCTGTGGCATGGGGCATCTCATCCGACCTAACCCTTAGTCAGCCCGCTTATGCTTATCGTGCTTTTGAGCTAAATAGCACAATGAAACCGACTTCTTTCCTGGGCAACACCGTGTCTAGGTAGGTAGGCAGGCTAAGCTGACCTAGCTAATTTAGCCGACTTAACCTGCTCGGCTTCCCTAAGATTCTGAATATATTCAGCTCTGCACTGAGATATCCAAGCCTCCTAAGCCTCCTTTACTCTCTTCACAGGCCTGACGATGCTATCGTCTGGTAAACCTGAGCGTTTAGTACCAGGTAGGCTGGCGGTGCGGATATCATTGTCGTCCTGGCTGACGCGACGTTGCGGGTACGCCACCTTGAGACCCTCAAAGCAACCTGCCGTCACGCCAATGCCACCGCCCGACGGTGTTGCTTGGAAGAACGGGTGCTGTAGCGCCTGTGCTGCTGTAAGCCGCCGCTCAGGATCGTACTCTAGTAGACCCGAAAGCAGTTTGTAGCCCTCCACCCCGAGGGCCGCGAGGCTGCCGTTGGAATTAGGGGATGAGGTCGACGAGTGTGCACCGATGGTACTGTAGTACCATTTTTCGAGGTGACTCGTTGATGCTGCTGATTTACTGTGATGGTGATGATGGTGGTGATGTCCCGGATGCAGCATAGGCGGCTGTAACATGCTCAAGTTGTTATACTCAGGCATACTCGATAGGTAAGGCCAGCGCTCCTTAGTAGGCATACCCATAATGTCAACGATTTTCTGCATCTGGTTACGTTGGAAAGGCACCGTTTTCTTATCCATCTTAGCTTCTTCCCCTTTAAAAATTGGTCGCAACGATAGCAACTCGGCGAAAATACAACCAACCGCCCACATGTCTATCGCCGGCGTGTAGTGTCGGCTACCTAGTAGCAATTCAGGAGCACGATACCATATCGTCACGACTACCTTATCGCCACTCCATAGAGAATGTAGTGGTTTATGAAATAGTCGGGCCAGTCCTAAATCGCCAATTTTAACTTGCCCGCTTGAGGTTACCATGATGTTAGCAGGCTTAAGGTCTCGGTGGAGAACCCAGTTGCTGTGTAGATATTGGCACCCGTTTAGCAGCTGGAACATGATGCTTTTCACCGTAGAGGGAGGAATGCTATGACGCGGTTGCTGGGTATGGTGGTGGATGATCTGCAAGAGATCATGCTCGGCATATTCGAACACCATAAATATACACTTATCCTCTAATATGATCTCCACTAGGCGGATGACGTTCTCGTGGCTAAGTTCTGAACAAAGCGCCATCTCGCGCACGGCTGATTGTGATATACCCGAATACTGTATCTGTTCCCCTTCCTTGTCAGGTTTGAACTTCTTGATGGCAAACTCGCCCGGCTGGCCTTGCCGGCTAACGGCCTTGTATACCCGGCCATAGGTTCCACTACTGATGAAGCCGATGACTTTATATTTGTCGACAACCCTGACTTTGGACTGATAACCCACATTGCCGCCTCTATCGATAGGGTCTATATACGGATTAGTTAATTACCAACTTTATAGGGATTCCCACGATAGTGAGAAGACGAATAAAGTAGATGTAATACATTGACTACGAAATAGTGAAGTACGTGGTTGAAAGGTGGTCATGAAAGGATTCATCGGCCTAGGCTCTATAAACTCGGTAAGAGGAAAGCCCACGTTTGTAGGGCCGTGGGACACTTTATTGTCCTCTCGTGGTTGTGTTCGAGGTAGTAGAACAGAGGATTGTCAAAGCCTTCCCCAAGCACCATGATACACAGTGCCTCACTGGATGGAAGGAAGGAAAAGAAAGGAGTGAAGAAAAACAAAATAAAAATTAAGACCAGAGTAAGAGCCGCGAAGACAGCTTTTTGATAGGGGGAAATTGTCAGCGGCGCAACATTTTGCCAAGGTCAAATAAAGTCCGAAGGCCACCAATCAAGGATCGATTTAGATGTTGTGAGATTTTACAACCGAAAGGAGTAAGTAGAAAATGGTGGGCGAATGCGAGCAAGCGGTCGACAAACGAAAAAGTAACCAAACAGAAATAGACACAGTTAACAAGAAGAGATTTGTTGGGCTGCATACCTTCGAAAGCGGCTTGTACACTTCTTTTAAGGGTTTGGTTTCTTGTAGAAGTTGACGCTGGACCTGACGCTGCACCCGAGGAGGGATTGGTGAGACTCATGATTTATCTGTGGTGCTGTGATGTTGTGGTATCGTGGTATCGTAGTATCGTGGTACTATGATGCTTGTACTCGTGTGTTGGATGGATCAGATCCCGATCTGACCAGATCCAGTTTTGGACTCAGATACAGATACGGCAATACAGATTCATACAGAGAAAAAAAAAAGAGACCGATCAAATGCACACCCGGCGGGTCTTCCGGCAGCGTCGGGTGAGACGAGACAGGTCTTTCTTTGCTCATCCACTACGTATTGGCTCACTCAGCAGTGGATTTATTCTCTATATGCTTTACGCTTGAGCGCCTCTGCGCCTCTGCGTGTCTCTTTTCGGCTACGAGATATCCTCGTATTGGTTGGAACTCCAAAATTTTAAAGGAGTCGGGCGTCTCGGATACCGATAGGATTCCGATTGGAAATAATGGAGACGAAGATGATGATGGGGCGTCACATATATTTCCGTCGGGTAGTTGTTTGTTGTATGTTAGGTAGTTGTTTTGAATGTTACCGTAATTCATCAATCATCAATCATCAATAATCAATAATAAGTCAATAAAGAATATGATAAGAGGAAATATGCAATTAACTCTTATAAATAACTTAAATTGAAAGTTGAGAAATATGTACAGTTAACAAAATGATTATGATGATAACTGGGAAGGTGATGGCTTTCTGTTATTTCGTAGCTTCTTATTATTGAGCCTAGGTTGAAATTGATCTTAGGTAGCCGGAGGTTGACCCCGGATGATCAATGTGGCTAGTGTTCTCGTGGCGCAGTCACCCCTGGTATTCAACCTAGGTATAGGTGCAACACCAACCTTCTATACCTGCATCATACCTAATATATGTAGATCTATGGGTATATGTACCTAACCTACCTTAGGTTGGATGTGTTTAGGTATAACTTATTGTCAGGAATACGTATGTAGTAGTTGTATATAATATGCTTGTAGTTCTAAACGCGTAAACTATACTTATGTGCTCACTCACTCCAGAGACTATATATAATTTGAATTGCATTGCATGAAATAAAAAAAGATCAAATATCGCCTTGGGCTAATTCACTAAAGGCCATTTTAAGTTATTTTGCTACAGCTACAACTTCATAAACTCCACGGGCACGGCACTCTGAACTCCCTCTCGACTGCTAGTTAAATGGACTTGCCAGGGTCTATCGCGGCCCTAGCTTCTCTAGAATCCTCGGCCCTTGCTCAGCCCATTCTTGTTGAGTGATCCACATACTCTTTGTCGGCCATGATGTTGGCCAGCACTGCTCCGCCCAAGAAAACCATATGCCGACGGCGAGGAGGGTCCTCTATCCTCACCTTAAACTTGTTTAGCCTTTCGGGGTTGCCGCCAAGTACACGTGTGAGCCACAATTGCTTTAACTCCTTCTCCAATCGTGATGGAAGACCTGGATACATGCTGCTGCCACCAGACAAGACGATCGCTTTGAAAAGAGAGGAGCGCACATCAACGTCGGCAGCCTGGATGGTGTTGAATAGGAACTCGGCAATACCCGGCTGTTCACAATCTACCAAGTGAGGCTGGAACAGACATTCGGGAGCTTCAAACCGCTCGCTACCTACTCGGATTACTCGCCCGTCCGGTAATGTGTAGCTCTCCACCAGCACCGTTGTATCCTCGCTAAGACGCTTATCCAATTCTAGATCGTATGAAACATAGCACAGCTTCTCTTTAATCTGACGCACAGTCTCGAAGTCGGCCGTTCGGTTGAGCGCATACCCTCGTCGTAGAAGCAGGGCGATGAGATTGCGTGTTACATCTCGCCCGGCCACGTCAAGTCGCCGAGTGAGATGATTGAGCACGACTGACTCGTAAACCGGGACGATATGTGTAACTCCGTCACCGGAATCGACGACGACGCCAGAGCTCAGACCTAGCTTATGTTAGGTCGGAATTTTTTAAGATATTTGGGAGGTTGAGTATTTACCTTGAGCATACAAGGCTAGCACGGCTTGGATAGCTACGTAGACGCCGCCGAAACCGTAGCGCTCAAACATGACCTCGCACATCTGTTCCCGGTTCTTCAGGGGGTTCATAGGGGGTTCGGTAAGCAAGATCTTGCGTCCTTTGGGATCAATCTTCATCTTCTCGTAGAATGTATAATCCCAAAGGTGCTGCATATCATCCCATTTCTTCACGATACCGTTCTCCATGGGATAGGAGACTTGGAGCATGGTCCGTGCAGCTGCCGCCTCGTCACCGCACATAATATCCTTAAGGACAATATCATTGTCACTGTTCTTCTCCTCCGTTCGTAAGATGGGTCGACCGATAATAGAGGGATATTGGAATTCGGGGAAGTTTTGTGCGGCGTATCCGACCTTTAAGAAACCGGTACCTCCATCGAGAACTAATGTAATACGTTAGGCATAGGGGTAACTCGAGCTAACTTGGTGTAGCAGACAGGAAGATCAATAATAAATAATGTTACTAACCGATGGGAGGAGAGAGCTGCCATATTTTCGATAAAACCTTTAGGCAACGTCTAAAAGGAATGAATATATAAAAGTAAAATGACGTTAAGCCGTGCTCGCCAGCTATAGGCGAGGCTGCTTGTAGCTTCGGTGGCGGGGTTTAGTTTTGGAGGTGAGGCGTTCGTCAGTTAATGTTAAGTACCAGGTTACATTCCATTTAACGGGCGTGAACCTTGCGAAACTTAAGTTCAATCTGAGGCTGAGGTCGAGACGGTCTGACGTTAGCCATGCTGCCATGTGGCTGAGGAATCTCTATGGAATCCCAAAACCCCATAATTTAGGCTAGGTAAGTTTATTACGTAAAAGTATGAAGTAAGTTAGGTACCTAAAGCTACCTGGAATTTCCTTGAATGCACTAAAGTTAGCTCTTGTCAGGTGATACCCCTCACTTACAACCGTCGCCCCGCAGAAGAACCATGAGTCAATCTAGCTGTAGAATCCATATAAGGTACCTAGGGAGTATATAAGTGATCTAATGTGCGAGCGGATATGAAAATATAAAATTATATAGATTAGGTAAGTTGGTAATAAATAAGCTTTAGTTAAGTTAGCTTACATTGGGAATTTTCGTTATCAACAACTATCCAGGTTCAGTCCCAGGTCCCAGGTATTTCCCTATCTTCGTATGCAATTTATTCAACTATTTCTGCCCTGAGAACGAAACCAAAATCAACTATGAGCACCAAACTTGTTCGGGGGAAAACGACCAAGATCTTGGTCTTAAATCCCAACTCCTCTAAGGCTATGACTGATGGCATGAACGTCGTCATCAGCTCTATAGATTTACCATACGTGCGTTAATACATGACCCGATCACCTCTCCAGACCTCTTATGATCCATCCTACTATCTTATCCCTCGAGTTTTGCAAAATCTACCGAGAAACGGATAACAAGGCCTAAAACTCACCTTAATCATAACTGCAGTCAACCGAGATTCACACATACACAGGCCCCGAGGGCGCACCCGCAAGTATCAACGATGGGAAGGACCTCGAAGAGAGCACTATAGCTGTGCTTAAGGACTTAGAGACCTCTTATCCTAGCGGTATGGATTACGATGGGGTCGTGGTCGCGTGTTATAGCGTGCACCCGCTCGTACCAGCCATGCAGCATGACCATACAAAATACCCCAACGTCGTCACCGGAATTTTCGAGGCCAGTATCCTAGCAGCCTTATCGGTGCTCTCATACGGCGAGGCATGGGGCATCATCACCACAGGAAAATTCTGGGAGGAGCACTTAGCTACGGGTGTTGGGAATTTCCTAGGTGCAGAAACAAGAAGTCCTGGCCCCGAGAACTCAAAGTTTGCCGGAGTTGAATCTACCGGCTTGAATGCCTCAGACTTCCACCACGGCGTTGATCCCGCCATCGTGAGGCGGAAGCTCAAAGAAGCAACTAAGCGACTTCTTTCTAAGGGCCGCGTTCGTTGCATCGTTATGGGATGCGCGGGAATGGCCGGGTTGGAAGACATTATCCGAGAGGCTGCCAACGAAGAAAAGGGTGAGGAATTTGCCCAGTCTCAACTACATGTTGTAGACGGCGTCAGAGCTGCTATAATGCAACTCGAGCATACAATCAAATATCAAAGGCTACTGCCTGGAAAGCCATAATTTAAAATAAAATAAATAGATCTGCCAATTTCATCAAATAACCGCTATATGTTTGTTTATGCATATAAGATCCTGTAGCCCATCCTAATCGATCCGCCGTGCCCGGCCCCAGACTTCGTCCGCATTCCTCCCCTTAGTCTCTGGTACACGCCAGAACACAAATAACCCACATAGGACGGCTAAAGCGGTAAATATGAAGTAGACCCAACCGGCACCTCCAAATCGCTCGTTCAGAGCGACGTTAATAATCGGGAAGAACTGGGCCACTAAAAACGTAGCAATGTAGTTTGCACCCAGACAACAGGACTGGGTCGCACCGACGGCTTCTTGCCCAACTAGTTCAGAGGCAAGAATGAACGGTACCGGGCCGAGTCCAACAGCAAAAAAAGCCACGAAAAAGAGAACCGTAATTGCTGAGAGAATCTTGGTCTCGAATAAGATAGACAAGGCCAGCACGAGCGCGCTTGCACCCTGCCCGAAGATGGAAAGGAGGAGACATGTTTTCCTTCCGAACTTATCCGGCAGCGGCGAACACGCAACAGTCGTGATGAGATTGATGGCTGATATTATGATCGTCAACAACGCCGAGTTAATCGGTAGGAGGTCCCGGAGAAGCGACACCGAGTACATGATAATGGAATTGATACCGCATAATTGTTGTGCGCACATGACACCGACGGCTGCAATAAGAGCAGGACGGTATAAAGGGTCTTTTACTACCTCCATGAAGCCGAGAGTCCCATTATTCTTAACGCTAGCTTTGCTAGAGGTCGATCCTCTCCTAGGACCGCTAGAAGGATCGTTAAGAAGTCCCTCTTCCTCTGGGATGACTGTAGAGTCCCCCCACGTAGAAGTCTCCTCCTCGATATCGTAATGTCGTCCTCGGATCCTTTGTAATATACGTCTCGCTTGAGTAGCACTCTGGTTTGCCGCTAGCCAAACCGGGCTCTCTGGTATTAGTAACAAGCCAAAGCCCTGGACAGCAGCGATAATAATACCGGCGCCCAGTATCCATCGCCATGCAGAGCCATAGCTCAAGAAATATCCCATAGTTTGTGTAACCAGTATACCAACATTGATGCTGACCTGTGTCATGGCGCCGAAAATACCACGTTCGCGGGGAGGTGCTACCTCGCTGATATAAATGGGCACGATGACCGTAGCGGCACCGGCACCGACACCCGAGAAGATACGACCGACGGCTAGCATAGCAATGGAAACCCCAAAAGTCTCAATGATGGAGCCGACAATATAGAACAAGCTGGTCAGTCTCATGGCCACAAGGCGACCCTTAGCGGAGGCGATGGGTCCACTCCCGAGAGCACCGGCCAGACCGCCGAGTGTAAACATACTCGATACAACGGCGAATTGAGCATCATCCATAGGCACGCAATCGGGTAGCGCAGAGGAAACAGTCGCTTGATCATTGTTCGGGGACGACGATGACATGAAGGATAGGGCGGCGGAGAATCGCGATACAAACTGCTGCCTGACCCGACAGGAGATGACATCTTGAGGTGCATTAAGCTCAGCCTAGAAGTTGGTAGAATATGAGGTTAGATTAGTGACAAAATAAAACAACCAAGTGATGAGACTTACAAGATGAAAACCAAACTGTAGCGGGCCGAGGGTGCTAATGACGACTAAGAGGATAAGATATGGCGAGACATCTCTGATGGACTGTCGTAGTCCAGAGGAGGACGACATTTCTAATGTTGAAACCTATTCTAACTAATTCAATAGTTTAGGTAGATAGGTGAATAGTTAGAATAGATAGTTAAGAGGTATTAGAATGAAATATAGAATGGAGGAAGAAGTTAGAAGTTCTCAATTGAATCATGTTGGAATATAAAATGCCAACCACATGATTCTACAAGTTTATGACAGGTTTATGGTTTATGTATTACATGCGCAGCTCCAGGCCAGGTGCAGCTTCATTTGAGTGCATTGAGGCATGTTTAGGCATAGGCATGTGGATGTACCTACCTCTTAACCTTTTTATGTAGGTACATGTATGTACGGAGATAGCAGGTAGAGAGGTACATAGGTACATGCAGATACACGTAGGACGACAGTTAATTCAAGTACCACGCGATGCATCTTAACGCAACAAACCTTAAAACATTCAATGAATGTAGTATTGATACCTGTTAACCTTATATATAATAGTTGGTCTACGACTTCCAATCCAAGTTCCCAACATTCAAAAATGATGTAAGTGCCCAATACTCATTTATATACCCGCGTAAAAAAAACCTAACCTTTACCTCTTCTAATTCATAAGGCTATGGCAGCCCATAATCAGGCACGCAAAACCCATGGCAAGGAATCATTAAGTTATGACCATCATTAACATCTCTCACGCGTTGAAGCCATAAAAGAATATCCACCTGTATACCTTCGTAATACCAGAACTAGATTAAAATGGAATTAGCTACACGTACTCATCTTTTTTTTTTTAGGTTGCAGGATGGAAAGGGGCACAACCAAAAAGTCAACTATAATAAAAAGGGTATAATCTGCACATACGTGTCTGTTATCAAAGCGGTCCGAGATGAATACCTTCGATCCTTGCTGGTAGGCCCAGTCTAGTGAGAGTGAGGATCCTTCATCTTTTAGTTTTCCTGGCCGAAGCACTTCGTAGATAGAAAATCGCGTGTCAAGGCGTGTTCTAGGCGCCAGGGGCATTTGAGCGGGTGAGTATCCTTTTGTTAGGGTCTCGTTGATAAGAGGATGCAAGCCTTGTATGGGGTCATCCGGGCTGGATCTATAGAGGAGACAAGTCGGGTATTGCGACAGGATATCATCGACATCCTTCCACTCTACGAATTTGTCGAGGAAGAATAAGCTAAGACCAGGTGGGCTTCTCGCCAGTCGAAACTGGGAGTCCAACTTCCCAGAGCGTAATTCGACATTGAGACCAATGGTTAGCGTCTCAAGTTGCTGGTCTTGGTCTAGGACAGCTAAAGCCAGAGTCTCTAGCTGTGTATGCATCGAGAGGTCGTATTCTATGCTGACATGTCTCACTGACAAGCACGCTGCCAGAAAAATTGGATATGGTAGCTCTCGAGTACCGGTACTCCATCGTCGTGGTTCCGCCCATTCGAGCACGTCGCTGTCCATATTGAACTGCGTGATTCTAGAGCTGCTACACATAATATCGAGAGCCATTTCATCCACGGATTGAGTTCCTAGGGACCGTCTTACGGTATCCCTACTAATCTGAAGCGGCGGCTTGTAACTCTTTATTATCTCTTGCCTCGCCTCGTGGTTAACCAGGGCTAGACGCGGAAGAGGTGACATCCTTTCGTCATGGATGATGCGGTAGTGAACCTGCACCCAATCTGATTCTGTTGCGGCATTCCAAGCATCTAAGTCTAACTTTAACCTTGCTCGGACGAAGCGATGTGGTATAGCAAGACGCCATATCTTATAGCGAAGCTCGGCGGGGAGGAGGCGAAACTGCGGAAACGAAGAGACCATTATGAATACCTAGGTTATCTTAGGTACCTAATATATGATTAGGTAGATATCAGGGAAACTAGTTACAATCATGCGACGCAATATATCTCACCTTAGATTTCATCTTAGAGGGGTTAGTAATCTCAATCCTCTTGGTTTCGCTATCGGCCAATCAACATTAATCTTCTAATGACTTGGTTGAATTACGATTTTCACTACCTTTTTTTTCTTTTTTTTTCCCTACTTTATCCCTTCATCTGTTGAGAATTTAGATATCTTCTGATATGTTTTTCTACCATGTCGAATATTCTTAATAGAGGCAATAGGACGTATGTTAGCATACTAAAGTTGTGTTGGCCTAACCTAGAGTTATAAATAAGAGGTCTGTTTAATAGACAAGCGAAAACGCTGCACACCGAAAAGTAGGCATTTCTTGAAGTATTTCCTCTTCCTTCAGATTCCAACTTAACGTTAAACACAATTTGACCCTTTTATTGTCCACGCGGACCTAGTCAACCACGTCTCTTTTCATAACCATATCGATATTCGCCGCGGTTTCGATAATCTTCGGCCGACCTAGTTATGCCAGTATTCGCTTACTCCGAAATATTCGAGAAAGATTATACATTTGTTTATGAGTTACCTATTCGGTGTCACTTCCTGGACGACTCAGGACCTGTTGTACAGGGGCACGCTGAGTCTCATTGTCTTCGGTTTCATTCACGCCGAACTTGGTCATGCTAAATTCCGGCAAGCGCTTCTGCTCTTTTCGTAATACGCCGCCGTGCTTTAGCCTGCGCCGTCTTAAGACCTCCATCTCCTCGGCATTTTTAACCTTCTCTTCTTCCTCGGTCAACATCGTACCTTCGATACTTAGGTATCCGTAATCGCCGCTGATACCAACTTCGTAATGCTTGATCCGGAAGTAGATCTTAGCCCCTCCTCGTATTCTCTTCCCGGTCTCATCCACCCAGTAACCGGTAGTATGCATCTGAGTGGTATCGTCTTCGGGGTTGTCAAAGGGCTCGGGTGTCGGGAGTTTAGCTTCCTCAGCTGTCTTCTCCCTGTCCGCTTTCTTGCCCTTGCCTCTGTCTTTGCCTTTATCTTTGTCTTTGGACAGTAAATCAACCCAGCGCCATCCATGAGGTAATCGCGCTGCTTCGATAGAAGCATTGAACATGTCCCAGCAGACGACTCCGATATGGCCCTCGCCTTGTAGATTCACTATACCTTCCATGGACACGCCTCGAGACGGACGGAATATATCGACGTCGACCGTCAACCACCCAAAAGCTACCGCATATTCATTGATAGACTCAAGTAAGACGGTCTCCTTCGCCTTGCTTTCTTCAGTCAGCGACCCCCTACCTGGTGCCTCTCCAACACGGGGATTTCGATAGGCTAGTAGAACACCACGAAAGCTTGGAACGTAGCGATTGAGCAGAGGTCTCAGATGCTGATCCGCAAACCCTTCTATCGGCTCGATCAAACCTGATGGAAATAGAGAGGGGTACTGTGAAACGGTTTGTGTGAAGAAGGGGTATTCGCTGGCTGCCGGCTTTTGTCCGAATTCGTCAGAATTAGAAGTCTCGGCTGGAACTGAGTCGATGTCCATAGAATCCGGTTCGGGATCCTCTGTCTCTTGGTCCTGTGCTGTTGGAACTGGTTGACTATCTGGAATGACTGATTCCTCTATATTGATCTTATCATGTTTCTTCTTGTGTTCCTTTGATTTTTTCTTGTCCTTTTTGGAGGCGCTTCCGCCCACTGCGCCATTTTGCACTATTTGGTGCTCATCTGTCTTTTCTGTAGTTTGGTCCCTATCCTTATGTCTTGGCCTCTTCTTCTTTTTTCCTGCTTTACTATCGTTGCCGTTTGCCTCGGTCTCTGGTATAATCGCGTCGGCCAACTTGGTTTCTATCTGGATTGGATCTTCTGGTTCTGGAGCATGAGAATTACTGCTACTTTTGGATTTCTTGTGCTTTCGCTCGTTGCCCTCGGTACCATCGGCTTCACGGTGTCGCTTATGTTTCTTATGCGACTTGAGTTTCTTGTCGGACGGCGACGTGAGTGTTGAGGCTGCGTTGTCTGCCATTGTGCGGGCGGTAAGGGAGTTGGCGTGAGCAGAAACTGAATTCAGAATTCAGAATTGATTGTAATTATTATGATAGGATTAAAAAGGTGAAAAAAATCAAAGTTGATTGAGCTAGCTGAAATGCGCCGGCATGGGATTGCAAGGGACTCTAAACCATAAATTTTTTTTCTTTTTCTTGAAGACCGATATTTATCGATAAGCTTGTTGTTTTTAGCGGGGCATTCCGACATTCATCATAATAAAATAACTACCTCCTAGGAGGTACCTATGTAAGAGACCTCTTAATACATATATAGCATCCAATGTAGAATTTAATCATACAAATACCTCGGAGGGACTTAACTTAATCACGGCTTATGTCTATTACATCTAGAATCAAATATCTTCATCATTTACATGTATATTAGTTTATATGGTTTGTCTCTTTTGAGTCGTATATGTAAGTCATGCTGGTGTAAGTCAAGTATTAAGAGAACACGCTTAACATGCAAATCTAGGACTGCAACCCTGACAACTATATACACTTATATATAATATAAATAAATGATGTGTATTTATCTATAACTACCTAAGGAAATATCTACGAGATAGCCAACCATAGGCAAATATAAGAATAATTTACACCCATGCAGAACGAACCTCAATATCCTTTCCCGCCGATAGCCCTCTCTACAACAGCGCTTAATGGTTCCATGTCTCCCGATGTAAGACCTAATATCTCATTATCAGTCTTGTCATATAGTGTACCGCCTTCAGCCCAGATACGTTTCAGCGTGTACAGCGTTGCAATCGGATCGTTGGCATTCCACTTTTCATTCTCCATCTCGCGAAGCTTCTGATTTGGTGTATGGTCGACCGTCCACTTTGACCCAGTCTGCTTCTCAAATTCTGCCACGATATCGTTCGGTGTCGTAACAAACGATTGGACTTTGAGGACTTTCCCCGTCGATACTTCGGGGTGCCGGAGAGCTGCAACCACTAGCTTACCAACGCTGCACCATGTTAGCCGGATGGGTTGAATAGTTACTGCTACTTTGTATGGAACCAAGAAGCTTACTCGGGCATGCTTGTGAAGCCAACCTTGCCATCTCCACTTCCAATGACCACAGCCTTCTTCGACTTGGTATCATAACCTCCGGCCTCTTTGGCTACTGGTGCAAGTACCAAATACATCTCGATGTACGGACCAGTTACAACATAAGTGCACTTGACCTTCTTCAAATTCTCACGGATAAATTCTCGTACCCTAAGCTTGTTCTGGTGCGGCTTTTCATTTTTACTAGAGGCATCGTATTCGATATCCGTGCCATATTCGCTAGGGAAAAACCACTGCACGTTGGTCTCTTCCGCAAGCTTTAGCAGTTCAATTTGACTAGCTAGTGCATTTCTTCCCAGGCATGAGACAACTGTATCTATGCCATTGTAGGCGTTTCGAACATCATCAACGTTGTTAAGATTGCCTGTGATGACCGATAACCCCCGAGACTTCCATGATGATAGTATGGTCTCCTTGTCTGGATTGGATGCTGTGGCAGGTGACGTGAAGATGGAAACTTGACGACCAACATGGGGGACGGCTGAGAGTATAGCCTCGGTAATGTATTTACCAATAGTACCTGTTGCCCCAATGATTAATATATTAGATGGAAGTTGGTTCGCCATAGCTAGGACTTGAACACTATGTAGAAAATATCACGATAATACGTAAACCTTGATGTTAACTACGTGTCAGAGGACATAAATCACGATATCGAATTGCGGGGTAGTTCTTTTCGTCCGAATTTAGCTGCCCATAGGTTTATTACCTATCATATTTTACGAACTATTAAGAATTTAGGTCCGTTATAATTAGTCTGTTTAGTGGTTAAAACATTTATAATGCTCCAGTTAATAGTTTTTATATAATGGTCTTTCGGCAAGGGCGAAAAGTTGTTCCTAGAGCTTTGACTTCGGTACTTGGGTTTGCTTACCTAGATCGATATTGATTCATTACCTTAGGTACCTAGATAGTTGATGATTATTATTTTTATATAACTCTCAAGTACTAGAGAAGCAACTTTAAAGCACCGCCTTGTTATGTACTCGTGTATGGGTAGGCGTATATAAACTCAAAAAGGGGAAGCGGAATAGTGTATCAACCTTAAGTGATACATCGGATCCGCCCGATCGTTAGCAGAACTAGGTAGAATAGGAGGTCCGGTAAACTGGCCACGGGCAATCATCCGAAGAACCATACATGGATATGGCTCTCCAGGACTTACAGTGGACCCAGATGATGAAGTCATGGCATTACACAATTGGCGACGGGCTCTATGTATGCCACGCTTTCTCTGGGGTAAGACTGGGGTAAATCCTGGGGATGCCATGGTATCTCCTATGCTCGTAAGATATGTTTTAACGAAAAATGGTCCCACATCCTTCTCTTTCACCTGTGCATTTTGAAGTTAGGTATATACGTTACATAGTTACGTATAGTTCGCTTCGTTAGTTATCAGGTAACGTTTGTGTATAAACCTGCTTCTTTTCTAAGTCTGGTTGTGTAGTACTGACTTCGAACTTGGATCGACATAAAATGTTCTGCAGGTACAGCTGAGCTGATCCCGCCCTCTTGGAACGGCATCCTTGCTTTTAGCAGATAGACAGAAGGGACTGAGGGGCGGCGTACATTGACGGTATGCTATTTCATGGATCATGTCGATCCTTGAGTTCCAATTATTCAACTGTCTGATTGGTGCCGGTTGAGCCGTCTTCGCCAGGACATGCCATTCTTCTGACGGCTCTGATAATGTGGCACACAACGACCTTTCGGAGCTCCTTGTCCGTTGAATGTGGGTAGAACTACGTGATAAGATGATCTGAAGTCATGTTGCCTATGTATAATTCATAGATTAAAGTACTATACACTATCAACGATACGACGAGAATATCATCCCTATCTTACGTCTTCCGATTGAATCTGCCGGTGTTGTGAAGACTAAGAACGTCAACTACCGATAAGGTGGATATTTCATGCCCAGGTTATCATCTAGCCCAACGAGCGCTTGCAGGTTCCCGCTCTAGAACTTCATGAAATAGATATGTCGAATTTCGGGGGCCTTACTAGGCAGCTAGGGCGACGAGTGGCCAGTGAATGTTTCGATAAAACCTTCTTGGGAGCTCTAAAAAATTGGCATGCCCTGATATTTCGTCACCCTTTGCGAGCGTTCCACTGATCCCGATTCCCGATCTCGAAGCGTCGTTAAATCATTATTAAATATATCTAGAATATTAACCCACATGGTTGCCGGTTCATATCTATTACACAATTTAAACTAATTTTTCGACTAGCCCCGACTCTGGCAACGTGATAGTCTCGTTAGTATGGCAGCGTGTGTGTTGTTCTAGACCTTTGGGTGTCGAATAAGGATTAGGCTATGCAAAGCCACAGGTTGGGCTGATGTAAAAACGAGGCACTTATTGACCTCGGATACTTCCAGGTCAAGCGGGCACAGTACCTATGATACAGTGCTAAGAGAAGATAAGTGTACCACGGTAATTTGCTTATTTTAGAATGTGTCCTATTTTAAACCTCTTATGGACGTCATTCCCTCATCATTAACATCATTGTACATTAATCCTTCGTTTGTAAACGCGTGTAGTTTGTTCTTATTAGCCAATTTGTATAAGTGAAAGGTATAATTTAAATATTTTCTTGATTGAACCAAATGGAAAGACTCCTGATATCAGCTGAAACGTAAAGAGCTTCTATTATCATGTAAGTGGTTTAGCAACCTCCGACTCAGTTAGGAGAGAACGCTACGTATGTATGTAATTAAGGAGCGTCGTACAATTATCCTATGTCTCTATTGGACCGTGCTGAAGATAGATTAGCGATGGGCAGTGCTATTCGTAGTCTTTAGCAACACTGTGTGAGATGCAAATATCGTTACAGATCATCCCCATCATCCCTACATAATATGTTAGGTACATACCTATTATCCTTGCCTATAATGCTTCTCCACACCTTCTCCAGAGATTAGGTACAAGCAGACAAGGCACCGTACCACCTCCTAGATTTCAATCAATAAGATGAAAGAGCTTGACTGGCACACCATTACATAGCTAGCTTCATATGCACTTTGCCTTCACCTACCGGAGCTCTTATCACGGGCAACGAGATACTTAACCTCTAAATACCGGACGAAACGCGCCACTATCAGGTGTTGTATTGCTATTCGTTAAACGTGAACCTCTTCTGGAAACCTATCATAGTTATCTTTAATGGTCTAGTTGTAATGGCGCTTTTCATATATATATATAACCGCGTCCGCCCGGATAGTCTTACTTATATATCCTCGGTAAACTCGCTAATAAAAGGAACTCAGAGGTCTTTTACTCGCTCAGTTGCGTTGAAGCGTTTGAGCAACATAATAAGTGACAGGTCAACATCGCATACATACATACATACCTACCTACCTACATACCTACCTAGCTTATCCTACCCTGCTGGTAGCACCGCTTTTACAGCTGCTGAGTTGTATAATATTGACATCAACCTTTGAAATATCGACGCCATCGTTTAGTTTGGTTGGATGGTTCCGACGCCTAACCAAGCTTTGAGTCCGGTCTCGACCCTGTTGGCCCCAATAATTTACCTGCAATCACGTCGTCGAGCCCCTACCATTTGCAAACGGGGAGCTTCAACTTTTTTTGTCCACTTTACCGCAGTAATAAACTTGCTACAAACACGGCCGAGTCTAGTCCAGCAACGGGAAGACCAACGGTTTCTGAGCTAAACACCGCCTTTCCTCCAACTTCTAAACCCCCCACTCTACCAAATTTGAAAAATATTTTATTAATCGCTGTATTGGCGAACTTGATACGCCTCGCGATCATTTACGCCACTCATCCTTTGTATTCGTCTCGTCGACGAGGTCGTACCTAATAGGCGTTCGTGTGCTTCTGTCGATAGTGCTTATTTTTCTATTACGTCTTATCTATAATATTTGCAAGCCAGTCATCCCTATTAGCCTTTGGTGGTTTCTGAGCTATATTTCCACTATCCCCTTTAATGCTCCTAGAGCTACCCAAGCAAGTCTGGTGCTATCTACATACATTACACTACATAAAATCGCACCTTTTTCGACTCCACACATCCACACCTCTACACATCCATACATCCATACGTACATCCATACCTCCACACATACATTAGGAGGTATTCATCATACAAAATCGGGTGCTCCCGACAGTTTCCTCAAGGTTCCACCGGCAACACGAATACTCGAGCAATCTTGGTGACTTACAGCATTTCTAAATTGCCTAACATCGAGCCGGAAACCAGATCGGCAAACTCAATTCATCGGCTATATTTCTGACGGCGCCAACCTTGGTGTGTCCTGAGGACCACTTCACATCATTTCCTGATATCTGCACGGAGGTTTTTGGTGTACAACCCCGGTCTAAAAGGCAGTCTTCCAGAAATTGCAGTAACCCGGGAAATATAATAATCTAAAGGCCTTCCCCCCCCTGTCTTGGTTTATAAACCCGACAGCATCAGCCCAATTGTTCCCTACATTTCAACCTCATTTAGGAACGTTGTATTTCACACCGATTATCCCGCATTCCTTTCTTAGAAACTCGAATACTTGTGTTGTCATCTGTAAAAGGAGACGACGTTACAATTGTGATCGTCAGATCGACAGGACGCCAGTACACTTACACGGAAGCTGGTCCGTTGTTCACACTCCGAGACGAAAATCCATCAAGTCCACTTACATCCGGCACTATCCCACCGCCGATCGATTGGTAACTCGACAGCTCGACTCGTGTTCCATTCCTCTATTTCCCTATTCCTGTCAACTTGGACACACCTTCAATTCAATGCAGCTCGCCGTTAGACACATAATACGGATTGAACATGTTCTATCGCGACATCAACATGCATTACACAGATGAGCTGATGGAATCGGGACCCGATTCGGTTTCGTATCACAATATCGACTTCGCTATGCATAAGTACCTCTTATTGCAGAACCAACACGAAGAGCTTCGGCAACATATGCACGATCTCTGTCCTTCATATACGACGTCTTCTACTGCAGTTACTTCGCCTTCGGTCTCACCCACCAGGTCATTTATTGGTAGCCCATCCCTTAAGCTCTCTCCTTCGCCCTCACGGAACCATCGAAGGTCATCGTTGTCCTCTAATAGGAGCTCGGGATACCGAGGCTCGCAGACTCAGCTAGAACCAGTGCTAGACGAATCATTGATCGAGGAGATGGCAGCAGGAGAACAGAAGCTCTTCGACGTGAATGAGGGCCTCAAGAGGGCTCTGACGGAGCTTCTTAACTGCGAGACAGTGCGGAAGGACCAAGAAATGAGAACTTGGGTGCAGACGCGATTAATGGACACGGAAAGAGAACTGCGTAGCGGACGAAGACGGCGAAGCCACGGTGGTTCTGATTGAAGTGGGCGAAGAAGGAAAATGGGTTTAAGGGACGGGAGTGAAGTGTGGAAAAGTTGGTTAATCTTAAGATGGGAAGGAAAAAGAAAGGTATTAGACGGACAATGTTGGATTAGGGGTTAAAGGAATATTGGGTTTGGGCTTGGGAACTCGATACCTATTTGAATTCGGATGGCGTTCGGGAACCCTGGCAGCCAGTTCTGTGCGGCATATCATCAAGTTTTATCTGAAGCTTCTCATCGGCGACTTAGCGATGAAATGCCTCTTGGTCGTCTAGTGAGAGATAGGCGTGCCAATTTTTCGGAAAGGGAAGGGGAAAGGGAGAAGGGGGGCGCTATAAATGGGTCGAATATTTTTTAATTGAAGTTTTCCGTAAAGGATGCAATTTTGAGATTCAAGGATATATTTACATAGGTACCTAGGTACCTACCTTTGAACAGAGACCGAAAATATATACATACTTTATACCTTACATACTTATATATAATACTAGCTATTGTAATTGAAAAATGGAAATGGTTTATATATTTAAAGCGTGCTAATTAGTATAAGAGACGACTTAAATTGTGATAGCTTCAATTGTCTTTAATTGATGTTAATGGGAAATTCCATGTATGGACGCGGGGTACATGTAGTGGCCCCGTCTACGTATTTTGTATGCAGCCACATAATCACACAGCCACAGACATCCGGGTAACACTCAAAGTGCGTCACAGTTTATGGTTCATTCTTTGCTTTCGCGCGTCTCATCAATTTATTCCCTATTTCATACAACTACATCCTCATAAACGACTACCTCTTATTACCGATCCCTCTTTCTCCTTCCACCTTCCACCTTCCAACGCGCTCCTAATTCACTATAATCTGACCCATTTCGTGTTATGTATTATTACTACCGTCTCGTCTTAGCTACATCGCCCTAGCAAAAAGGATAAAGAGAAGATGTCAGTCTTGCTCGAAACGAGCGCCGGCGACATAGTGATAGACTTGTTAGTTGATTACGCGCCAAAAGAATGCGAAAACTTCATAAAACTCTGCAAGGTTAAATACTACAACTTCTCGCCCATACATTCTATCCAACAGAACTTTTCCTTCCAAACTGGCGACCCTCTTGGCCCGACCTCTGTCGCTTCTGATGGCGGCTCCTCTATATGGGGTCTCATCTCTGGGCCCTCCAAGAAAACATTTAGCGCTACATTTCATCCAAAGTTGAGACATCTCGAGAGAGGTACTGTCTCCATGGCTACTGCACCACATCCTTCCGATCCCGATGCTCGTGTTGCCGGCAGCCAATTCATTGTCACACTCGGCGACAACACTGATTATTTAGATGGAAAGGCGGCTATATTTGGCAAGGTTGTCGAGGGGTTTGATGCATTAGAGAAAGTCAATAATGCTATTATTGACAAAGACGGCCATCCGCTCGTTGATATTCGTATAAAACACACAATCATTCTTGACGACCCCTACTCCGACCCGTCCGGCTTGCGAGAGCCCAGCCAATCACCTCCCCCGTCTAAGGCGCAGCTCGCTACGGTTCGAATCGCCGACGATGCGCCTTTAACCGAAGAGATAGACGAGGAGGCAGCAGAGAAGGTGCGGCGTGAGAGGGAGGCACGCGCCCAGGCTTTAACCCTCGAGATGATGGGTGATCTTCCATTTGCCGAAGTCAAGCCTCCCGAGAATGTACTTTTCGTGTGCAAGCTCAACCCCGTGACCACCGATTCCGACCTTGAGCTTATCTTCAGCCGCTTCGGCAAGATTTTATCTTGCGAGGTCATACGCGACAAGAAGACAGGAGACAGTTTACAGTATGCCTTTGTAGAATTCGAGGACAAGGGCGCATGCGAAGCAGCTTATTTTAAGATGCAAGGAGTGCTCATTGACGACCGAAGGATACACGTTGACTTCAGTCAGAGCGTGAGCAAGTTGGCCGAGGTCTGGAGGGGTGGGGAAAATGCAAAGAGGAAACGCAAGCATGAAGGTGGCGGATGGGGCGGTGTTAAAGAGCTGGAGAAATGGAGGAAGTACAGGGAAGAGGGCGGTCACGAAGACACCGAAGATCATTACAGCATGGTTTACGGGGAGGAAGAAATGCGCGGCCGACATAGGCGACAGAAAGACGGTCGAGATCAAGATGATAGGCGAGCTCGAGATCCCGATCGCTTCGGGGATAAAGATAGATATAGAAACCGTAACGATGTGGATCAAGCCAGACGCCGGGACGGTGGATATGGGCGCGACCAGGATGGGGCGCCGAAGTCACGAAGTAGAAGCCCAGTGAGAGACAAGCCTCGAGATAGGAATCGGTACGATGACCACCGAAGGGATGATCGCGCTGGCTACCGACATAACGACCGACGTGGAAAAGATCAAGAAAGAGAGCAGCCTCGCCGTGACTATCGGCGGAGATAGCCTGAATCCACTACCTTTCATACGAAACGACTGTTATATCGAGTATGTGGAATTAGTTAACTAGGTTAGGTACCTTAGGTATCTGAATTATGTTTACGGAGCCGTGTTCTAAACGTACTTACTCGGCGTTAGATCTAAATGGCATGAACCAAGCACGTCTTTACAGTATGGAGATAACCCGATTTAGATAAAGAGAAGGCTAACACATTTTAGAGCATACAATCATATACGGGCGTAGTAATCGCGCGTGTAGCTTGGTATAGGATACTCGTGGATACTCGTTCTACGTACAATTGATGTTTTTCCTGCCCCTTATGTTTCTTATGCGTTCGGTAACGAATACCGGAACGAGCCGAGCCGTTTTTATATGTTTGGCTCACGTTTAGACAATGTGGCCTACTAGGCATATCGATGTCGTTCTCTAGTATCCATAAAGCTCTAAATCTGACTATATTAAGTGTGAGTTTAAGAGGGGTTGTGTTCATTTCGTCGCTCGCCCCCGTTCTCAGACCCTTTTATCAACGTATAAAATAGTTAAATATCGGCCTGACATGGCGCAAAAGGATGCGGATTCAGCCATGTGATGGTGGCTATATCGTTAGTCCCCATAATTGTATTCTATTCTACAGGATGAAGCGACGGTCTTGGAAACTCAGGCACCAGTATAATACTTCATTCAACTTCTTGGTCAACGACGACAAATAAATACTTCCAAGGGAATTCAGCTATCTTGGGAGAGATTCCCAAATCGGAACAAGACGATGCAGTTGGACATCCCCAGTTGCAGTGATGAAATACACAGAATTCGGCTATCTTGCATCGCGATACTGAATGCTTAATATGCAGAACATTGTATCAACCATGCGAAGGATTGGCAATCTACTCGAAGGGGTAGCTACTGGCTAAAACTTACCAAGGTAGGTTTAAAGCTTCGTTGCTATCTTGTTTAACGTATGACATATCCTATAATCCTCCTTCCCGGTTACACCGATGCCGCTGTCACCCGGCAGTCGTCTATCAGGCATCGAAGAAAGAAACTAGTGGCGCCTCCATGAAAAAAAATACCATCGACGAGATTTATTTACATCGCTAAATTGAGTCACCACGGACGGACTGGACGAGAAGATAGGAAATGCCTATGCGATCACGAATAGCCGGGGTCGGATATATGTAGAGACGCGTTTGCTACCATTATTAAGACTACAGCAAACCAACCAATATGGTACTGACTTTAAGCATTAGCCTTCTCACCGACATACGAAGAGCATGACTATTGCTTCACTTCAATTAGCATGGGTCATCTATATCTATAAAGACTGGGGGAGTGTTGCGAGTATACACCTAAACCCAAGCAGCCCCCCTTATGAGCTTCGATTACCCGCAGACTAGAAGCCTGATGGAACAATGGAAGGCGGCTCGACGATGCAAGTGGCTCGTGGCTTGCCGCTGGTCGCCACCATGCAGGTTGAAAGTATCCAAGTATTTGCTTCTCAACTTAGGTACTATTGATGCTATTAAACCGTATGTATGGGGCAAATCTATTATCGTTTTCTCATGCCATGTCAAGGCTAAAACTAGCGTAAGAAAAATGCAGCTCAGTCTGATAAACAGCGTGGCTATTTTATAACTTGTTTATCTGTTAACCTCCCTAAACATATATTTAAGAGTTCTCCCTAAGGTTCTAGGTTAGGTTCTTATTGTGGTAAGATTTTCTTTGGCTAGGATTGACGGAGCTCTACACACGCAGGTAAAGGAGACTTATGTCGGACGGCATGGGAGACGACATGGGATAGTCATGAGCTTGCAACAGGCCGTCTTTCCCGAAGTGGGGGTGAATTCATCAACCTACTAGGATGCGAGGTTCGCGAGTTGATGTCCTGTTACTTGTCGTGCCACGAGGCGTTCCTGGAATTCTAACCCGAGCCGAAAGACCCTAGCACTACTTACCCAACGCTGATTATCAGAGCGCCTACGACCGATCGATCGATGCTACTCTTTATCTACCATACGTTATCGTCCGGAATTAGAATACAGGTTTTCTCCTTATTTAGGTAGGTAAGGTACCTTTCGACGCTGGTTGCTTCTAAGACCGTTTTCTGCAAGGTCCCCAAGTTCGTGTGACAATATTTCTATGGCACTTTCAAGACGTCTTGCTGAACCTAGCCCTAAAAGACGTTCACTACTTCAAGTATCGAATATACGTCTCCACCCTCCTGTCTTAGCCTGATATCGGCTGTCACTTTTGTATGGGATCGTTGTTGCAGCTAGAAGACCCATCATAAATGTCCTGCCGGGAGTTGACGTACTTTCCCGTCCTCGTCAATTTGAGACTATCTATTAAGTTGGATCGGAACTCCGACTCTACTCTACGAAACAAATGATGAACTTTGAAAAGAGCTCCGAGAGTCACACAAAGGGGAAATATAGACCATACCAACAGCAACCTGTGGGGATGATCGATTAATCTCATTATAGATTCAGATCTTTCAGTTCCAGAGCTGATTCGTTGCCAAGTTAACTCTTAAATTAGCAATGGCTATTTACCATCTATTTTGACCTATTGGCGTGACAATGGCTCTATCGCCTATCCTTCACGATGGCTAAGGTACCTAATGGAGGATAACTTCCAAGGGGGATCGAGTAGTAGTCGATGCTCATTTCTAGGCCCAACTTGTGAGTATGTCTATTCTAATGGTATAAGGGGCTAGCATGAGACCAAAGCTTCAAGATATCATCATCGTAGGTAGGTTAGGTAGTTTACAAATAAACTTTTCGCCACAGTCCTGATTTTGGACCCTGACCCCTAAGTCTTCCCAAGTATTAAACTACCTACTCCAAGGCCTACTATCGACTAGCATCATGGCAATTTGAACCCCCAAAATGTCTCGCATACTGACGGACACGTTTCAGCCAATGATATAGCGGTCGGTAGCACGAATAACGGCTACCTGCAGCTTCTTATAGATGACTGACAGCGGGGACATGCACGCAGCCGTGTAGCTGGAAGGAAAAATTTCCGCTGCTAAGTTCTGGCACCTATTATCTCCCAACTATGAGGACCATGTGCCTTGCCAGTGACATGTGTACTCTTGCCCGCGTTTCCACTGTGTTCGGAAGCTTGATGAGAGACAGTAGCACTTTGGCTTAACTTATTCCGCACCCAGTGTATGATACAAGCTGGCTGGAACTACCATGGGAATCAAAGTTTTTATTGTCATATATAGAACGTGCCGACAAGACCCAAGTTCACTCGATACGGATTGCCCTCGTTGAGAGATGTTCCGGTTCCATGCTTTCCATGCTTTCCATGCTCTCCGCCTTTAAACGGCTACCGTTAACGCAGCACCTGTTCATTGGTGGCACGGTTCAAATATGGGCACTTGCTCAATGTACCGGATACCCAAATTGAAATAAGCAAATCCGAAAGCACCGCGGGCGAGGCGGCCAGAGGACAAAGAGAAGACAGGGAAAAGCGGAAAAAGGAGGGGGAAACGGAGGAAAGGGGAGAGAGCGGGAGGGCAAGGGAGGGGAGGGGAGGAGAGGGGAGGGAGGGGGAGGGGAGGGGAGGGGGAGGGGGAGGGGAGGGGGAGGGGGAGGGGAGGGGGAGGGGGAGGGGGGGGGAGGGGGAGGGGGAGGGGGGAGGAGAAGGAAGAAGGAGAAGGGAAGAGAGGGAGAGGGGAAAAAAAAGGAGGAGGGAGAGAGGGAGGGAGGAGGGGGGAGGAGGGGGGAGGAGGGGGGAGGAGGGGGGAGGAGGGGGAGGAGGGGGGAGAGGGGGGAGGAGGGGGGAGGAGGGGGGAGGAGGGGGGAGGAGGGGGGAGGAGGGGGGGGGAGGGGGGAGAAAGGAGGGGGGAGGGGGGGAGAAGAGGGGGGAGGGAAGAGAAAGAAGAAGGAGGGGGAAAAAAAGGAAAGGGAAGAAAAAAGGGAAAGGGAAAGAAAGAGAAGGGAGAGAAGGAGGAGAAGAGGGGGGGAAAAGAAGGGAGAGAGAAAAGGAAGAGGGGGGGAAGGGGGGAAAGAAAGGAGGGAAGGGAGAAAGAGGAAGAAGAGGAGAGAAGGAGAAAAAAAGGACGGGGGGGAGGGGAAAGAGAGAGAGGAGGAAGAAGGAAGGGAAAGGGAAAGAGAGGAAAGGAGGGAAAAAGAGAAGGAGGGAGAGGAAAAAAGAAAAAAGAAGGAGAAAAAAGAAAAGGGAGGAGGAAGAAAGAGAGAGAAGGAAAGAGAAGAGGAAAGAGAAGAGAAGAGGAAAAAAAGAAAAAGAGGAGGAAAGAAAGAAGAGAAAAGGGGAAAGGAAGAAAAGGGGGAGAGGGAAAAAAGAGAAAAAGGGAAAGAGAGAAGAAGAAGAGGAGGGAAGAAAAGAAGGAGGGAAGAAGAGAGAAAGAGGGAAGAGAGAGGGAGGGAAGAGAGGGGGGAAGAGGCGGGGAAGGAGGGAGAGGGGAGGAGAGAAGGGAGGAAGAGGGGAAGGAAAGAGAAAGGGGGGAGGAAGGAAAGGGGAGAGGAGGGAGGGAAGAAGAGGGAGGGGAGGGGAAAGGGGAGGGGAGAAGGGGAGGGAAGGGAGGGGAAGGAAAGGGAAGGAGAAGAGAGAGGGAGAGAGGGGAGGAGAGGAGGGGAGGGAAAGGAGAGAGAGGAGAGAAAAAAGGGGGAAAAGAAAAGGGAGGAGGGAGAGGAAAGAAAGAAAAAAGGAGGAGAAAAAGAAGAAAAAAAAGGAAGAAAAAAGAAAGAGAAAGGAAGAAAGAGAGAAAGGAAAAAAGGAGAGAGGAGAGAGGAGGGAAGGAAGGAAAAGAAGGAGGAAGGGGAAGGAGAGAGAGGAGGGAAAGAGGAGAAAAGAAGGGGGGAAGAGGAGAGAGAAGGAGGGAAGGAAGGAAAGAGGAAAGGGAAAGACAGGGGAAAAGGAAGAGAAAAAGAGAGAGAAGAGGGAGAGAAGAGGAGGAGAGGGAAGGAAAGAGAAGGAGAAGGAGGAAAAAAACGGGGGGAGAAAAGGGGAGGAAAGAGAGGAAGGGGAAGAAGGG